AGGGGCTTCTAACCTGCTGCTCCCAACCTGGCGGCCCCGGTGCTTCCAGAGGCCCCTGGGGTGAAAACCGGCGGCAAACTCTGCCCAAAGCTGTCCAGTAACTATGCTGGCCTCGCCTGATCTACATGGGCCTGATTCCCGTGTAGGGCCTTGGGTTGTCAGGGTCTCGGATGGGGAGCCCCTGGGAGGCCCTGGCCCCGCTGATCCCCTGATGGCAGAGAGCTTTCCCCTTCTCAAGCCAGGTTGCCCAAGGGCAGAGCTCCCTGATGGACCAAACCTGCGCTCCTGGGCCTCCAGTAGCATGGCAGCTCTGCTTGCTCTCTCCCTGTGTCCTTGGACCTGTGAACTTGTACCCAGGGCTTCTGGTGCTCCCCCTGGTTTTGGGTCACAGCAGGCCCCACCACCACCCTCAGGGGGGTGCACAGGCAGCTCATCTACCAGGGCCAAATGGGGCAAAGGCTGTGCTTTGCAGGGGCCTCCCCAGTGGTGCAGCGGGTTGAGCACAGCGCTGTCCGCAGCCTCTGCAGCACAGGTTCAACTCCTGGCCGGCCAGGGAGCAACAACCCACATGGCGCGGCAGACCTCTCCTGTCTCGCATACTGCTCCCCTTAGCAGTGTTTTCGGTCCGTCTGCCTGTTCTGCTCCCTGCTCTGTCTCGTAAATACTCTCATCCTCCCGCACCTGTGGCCTATACCCCAGCTCTTGTATAAATAAATAAATCTTAAAAAAAAAAAAAAAAAGAGTGTGCTTTGCAGATGGCTTGTCATCTACTTCTGTCCCATACAGGACATCTTGGGAGTCACCAAGCACACACAGGAGGAGCACACGAAGCTGCCCTTGATTTTCTACCTGGGAAGCCACCCAGAAGAAAGGTTCCCCCTCAGCCTCCTGAGTACCAGGAGGTGTTCAGCAGGATCACCCCAGCCCTGAGGCAGCACCAGGAGGCCTTGTTCCCTGGGTAGCCCCAGCTCAATATCATGAAGTAGGTGCCCCCAAGGTTGTGAAAAGTTAGGGAATGCCTGACACCCCAGAAATCTGTCCCCCAAAAGTGCTCCTGACCCCACTAGCACCTACTGGGTGCCAGTGCTGGGACTGCCCACTAGCCCTACAAGTGCTCTCCAGACCCAATGGGCTCAGCATGCATCATGGTTCCCATGGGAGGCGTGAGGGCACCTCCATCTTCCACCTTCTGTAGGAACCGAGTCCCTCGCCCAGCACACTGTCTGTCCCCTGCCACCTGCCCACCCTGAAGGTTGAGGGCCACCTTCCATTGAGTGGGGTTTTCACATCCGCAGCCACCTGCATGCCAAAGCTGTATTGCAAGACGTGAGAAAATAGGAGGAAAAAAGTTGTAGAATAAAGTACAGGTCTTTCAGTTAAAAAAAGCAACATCAACGAAAAAAAACTCCAAGCTTCAAATCCTGTCCTTGATAGGAAGGCTCATCTATTTTATTTTTAAGATTTATTTTTGTTTATGCATACAAGAACTGGGGTACAGGCCAGAGGTGTGGAGGGTGAGAGGATTCACCAGAGACAGAGTGGGGAGGAGAACAGGCATATTGACTGAAAACACTGCTGAGGGGAGCAGCGGGCGAGTCAGCAGAGGTCTGCTGCATCATGTGGGTCACCTCCCTGGCCGGGGAATGAACTCGTGCTGTAGTGGCTGCGGATAGCTTCATAGTGCTGCGACTTAATCCCTTGTGCTACCAGGGAGGCCCAGGTCTCATCTATTTTTCAGAATTCTGTCACTTGAATAGAATCTGCCCCCTTGGAACCATGTATGTACAACCAATAAAAAAGGCAAGTTATTCCCTACAAGTCCAAGACAGCCAAATGCACTCAAATAGCCTTAGATTACAGGCAGACTGACTTCTCTAAGGTTTTGAAATTCATTCTTTAGGGAAATGCTCACCACATGTCTTCGAACCCGCAGACCCAATAGAAATTCCTTTTTAATGAGCCAGGTTGAGGCAGAAAGGTGGTCACACCTGCATCAGCCATATAGATCAACGGTCTCTAGTATTATGTGCTTACTATGTGACAGTGTGCTTACCTACATTTTCTAATTTAAACCTCAACACAACACTAGGAGATAGGTACTCTCAGCTTCATTTTACCGAGGAAAAAAAGCAAATTGATTTAGTGACCTCATATTCAGTAAGTGGCAACAGCGAAGTAGAAATACAGGCACTGTGGTTCACAAGCTTTCTCTCACATTATAGTAACTCCTCCCTTTGGATATTCAGTAAGATTTTATTTCCCCATAGGCGTAATGACATCAAGTAGTCAGCTGGAGGTTAGCCGTGATTACGGAGCGCATCCTGAGCTCCAAACTACTCATAATCCAAACTCTCCTGACAAGGTACCTCTAGTTGAAACACGAGGATAGATCTTGATTCAACTCGGCTATGTTTGCATTGTGACTTCAAGTACCTCAACTTTATTATATACATCTATATACACAATTCTAATGAGAAGTACATGGCTAACATTCTCAAGTACTGAAACAATCAATCCAACGGAATTTTGAGGGAGTAAAGCCACACTGCGCAGATGAGAGTATCTGCACAGCAATAAGAGCAGCCAGCGCCGCTGGCACGCGCAGGTGGATGGAGGGCACGAGAGCTCACTGCCACGGATGCGGCCAACATCTTTCTTTTCATCATAATGCAATTGGCCTTCCTGGGATATTTCCAAAATCATCAACTTTAAAAAATCTGACAGGGCCTCAGGGTTATGTCTCAGCGCTATCACAGATAAGGCCTGAGTTCAATCCCTCAGCAGTGTATTTCAGCAGATCCGCCTGTTTTGCTCCTGTAGGGTAAGTGATTATCAGGCTTTTCTGCACTCCCGTCATGAGCATTATTGATGGATCCCTGGTGTCCTGAATGCATACCTGATGGTGGGCACCTGGAGTGGGGTGTGGGCATGCATAGGTGGGCACACCTGGGCTGAGACTGGCTTATAAGGGCAGCATCACAGGGACACCAGCAGAAGAACGAGAAGCGGCAGAAGAGAGCAGAAGAACAAGAGAGTAGAGAAAGGGTAGCAGAATGAGAGCAGGGAACAAGAAAAGCAACAGAACAAGAGAAGCCAGAGAGCCCAGAAAGAGTGAAGACTTGCCAGGGGCTGAGAGGCCTGCCAGCCTCCCGGCACCCCGACACTCCTGCCTGCTGTGTACCTGGTTGCCGCACTACCTGTAAAAGGCCAATAAAACCCTGAAAAAGCCACCGAGGGCTCCAAGACTCCTTTACCCATCTGCTCGGATCAGAGAGATCCTGCCCAGAGCCTTCCTGCCGCTACTGCTCCCCACTCTGTCTCTGATGAATCCTCACACACACACACACCCCGCACCTCTGGCCTACACCCCAGTTCTTCTATGCAAAAATAAACAAAATCTTTAAAAAATAATCTGACAGAATACAAGGGTGTTAATTCTGTGTTTGGGAGTTAAATATATTTCTTGTAGATTATAAAAAGTGAGGTCCTCACAATCCATCCTACCTTTAACACTCTTCTCCCTTGTATTCCTCCAATGAAACAACTTTTTCACCCTACATGCAGATCCTGCCTATGACTTTTTCTTCATCAGAGCTCCGCAAAGAAGTGACAAATTTCACCTAAGTAGTTAGATACCTGCATGGCTGCTCAAGTCCAGCTACTTTCCCACCCGACTCTGCAGTCCCTTCTTTTGATCATTCCTTATGCATTCTAGTGATGAGTGCTTGCACTCCAGCACTGTGAAGAGGTATTTTGATGCCAGTTTAATCACAATATGGGGAAAAAACCTGGAGCGGGGAAATGGAAGATCGCAATTGGAAAAGTACTTGGAAGACTGCCAGCAAACTAGGAATTACTGGCTGTAAAAAACCCACCGAGGATCACAATATATTTGAGAGAAAGCGAAGATATGAGACCCCTTCATAGGGTCCCCCAGCCACCATGTAAGTTGTCTTGGTGCTTCATTTGGCGATAACCCCAAAAACCTGTCTCAAGGTTCTTCAATTAGTTTTCCTGGCCCCCTTCCTATTTTTCAGTTTGTACCTATAATTAATAGTGTTCCTGCTCAGTCTGTGAACAGAATGACTGGCTTAATTTTAAACCAAATTTCAAATTCTTTAACTTTTAAATTGAAAAGATAGAAGCTTGCCTAGGTGGAAAAGTAACCTGACAAGAGGTACAAGTTAACTTGCGTGGCTTGGCTTAGAACAAAGCAAATGTAACTATAAGTACATATTGACCACCCTACAGGAAATATGAAAGGTGAAAAATATTTGACCTTTCCTTCCTAAACAAAGGTGTTTTCATTTCTTCTCCATTAGATTATACGAGGATGAGTTTTGAGAATGTATGGTATCGTGAACCCAAGATTAAACATAGCAAACGTGATTGGGAGATTGGCGAAGTCAGTCCTTGAGGGAATCGAAGAGCTACCTAAGGAGTCAGAGCTACAGAAGGAACCTATGACCAGCTTCAGAAACTCTTTCCTGACCTCTCCACCCTTATTCCCTGGGTGGTACAGACCTAGCCTTGCAGAAAATTAAAGCAAGCACCAATGGCCACTCCCTTTCAGAAACAACATACCAGTATATGGGTCAATTACATCACTTTATAATCATAGTTATGAGACTTGACTGTAACACATAAGGCAAGACTTCTTCAGGCATGTTTTAAAAGTCTATGTACTGAATTCTCACTTGGCCCATAACAGCTTAGCGCTTCCTTCCAAAGATCATAGTTGCCAGTTTAATTGCAACAAAGCCGTAGAAATTCTTTCCTATAAACACTGCACTGGGCCACATGCCTATCAAGTCGCCAATCTAACATTTGTGCAATCATTCAGAAATCCAGCAACACCAGAGATCCCTTCCCCTACTCAGGGGTTGGCCTATTAACTAAATTATAGCAATTTCCTTCCTAGATACAACCCACTACCCACAACCTGACAAATAGTTGTACGCCCTCCTCATGTCCCACCCCTGTACCTCAATAGCTTTAGTTTCTGTTTTTCATTAGATTTCTGTTTCTTAGACTTGTGGCTCCCCGACCAAAGCAACTGAAGCTGTAAGAAATGAGACATCAAATCATTTAACTAACCAAGCTGGTTGACTGAGGGAAGAAAGGAAGGAAAGAAGGGAGGGAAAGCAGGAGGGAGGGGGGAAAGAAAGTGAGGGAACTACTGTGGCTTGGTGGGGAGTGTCAGAACTTGTCACATCAAAGCATAAAGTTTTCCAAGTATTATTTTTTATTTAACATTAGAAAACATATCCCCCCGTTGTCTTAGTGGTCACATTCAGATGGCTTTAAAGTACTTTTTGGAGGTCATCCATGCTGAGCAAGACTGTTCAATCTTCAGACCACTGAAGGGTCAGAGTCTGCATTTTCTGTCAGTTCATAAGTCAAAATATGTTTTTTGTTTATGGAAGCGCTTAGGTATAAGATTCCCTTTCAGGTAGAAGGGTAGAGATGAAGAGATTTCCTTTGATATCGGACTTGTGCACAACTTCATTTATGCCACAAAATCAGATGATAGCAAGTTCTCCTATCCTTGTTTTATCGGTAGTGGTAGTTTTAAGATGCCAGAAACTGTGAAAGGAAGGCTTTTAGTTATTTTCTCCTTTCCACTTCCCAATAATGCACCCCCACCCCAGCTAAAGGAAGGGTAATGAGTTCAGCCAATGGCAGGCATTAAAAGACAAACATTAGTATTTCAGATGTATCCGATGCTTAAATTAAAATGTAACAAAGTAAAGGGAAACTTCAACCCGAGATCCTTCAACTTTAGCCTTTTACCAATTTTGTCATTCCTTTGTATTTGCTTCTTGATTTACAAATGTTATTGTTGGCTTGCCATGTAACCTAAAGTTTAGACACTTAAAAGTGTGTGTGCATTACATAAAGGCTTTATTTCAAGTGAATTTTGACTTCTGCTTTAATGCTTCCTTATGATGGAGAGGTCACTGATTCAATGAATCCTGTAACTATAAAACTCAGAGCTGAGTTGATAACCATTCAGCCAAAAATTGTTGTTTCTCAAAAACTTACAGCAGAAATCAGTGGGAAAAAAGTCCTTTGTTCTCATCTCAACAATAACCAATTATTAGCAGTTGCATTCAACTTTAAAAAAGCAATCTTAAGTTATACCTGGAGGTAGTAATGCCCTTTAGACCAATCCAGAACAAAGGCAGACTGACCTTGGAAATAGGTTTAACCTTTTCTTTCACTCTTCCTCCTATCCCACCCTCTGTGAGTGATTTAAATATTAGAAAAGGTCAAAGCCCATTTGGGTCCATATTTAAAGGATTGTTTTGGGGTATTTTTTCCCTCCTGATTTTTGCCAATTACTTCCAATTTTTATTTTGTTGTTCTTAACACTCAGCATAATAAAATTGTTAAGCTATTTTCATTCACTGACATTATTTTACTATAAATAAGTCTTTTCTTGACTTAGGCTGATGATACGCCAGCTAAGATGTAAGTTGAGAACTGATGCAAAAAAGAAATCATATCTCCATCTCCATTTTGATATGTACTATCTGAGGATTGTACTTTTATGAGATTTATGTAGGCAGTATTTGTTAGAATATAAAAAGGTAAAGAATTCAAATGAGACAACAGTGGTAAATGCGTTTCAAAACCCACTGTGGCTTGATTGTGAGTGGGTACCCAAGGCCTAGGGGTTGGGCGATAGCTGTTTGTCAACCCTCCTCCTGACCAGCAGTGGTCACAGCCATTTTTTATGGGGACAAGCTAATTAAAATAGTGTCTAAGGAGGATTCCTGCAACTTAAGGAGCAAGCTCAGTAAAACATCCTGCTTATTGTAGTGGCCAGAGTGGTAGAAGAAACATGGAGTAGGAATAAACCCACACAGTATTATTTAGGGAGTAAGTCATGCCCATAACCAGAAAATAGGCCAAACAAAAAGTTTTAAAAGTTCTCTGGGGAGGCATTCATTTTTCATGTCTCTGAGGCCAACTAAGAACCTACCAAAGGACATTATTTGTACCCATTAGGCACTGAAATATACTTAGAGAATAAAAGAATAAATACAATGAATGAACAGTAACCTCTCATAGTTTAGTCTCCAGGTCAATTAATAAGGAAGTGTTGAGTCAAGATCTCTTAGTATTTTCTGTCTGGGAATTAGCGCAATGCCTTGAAATAAGACACTTCCAAATAAGGCACTTCCAAAGAGTTTTTCACTTAACAAAGAGTTTTTCACATTCTTTCTTCTTTGCTTGTTTGTCTAAGTCAGACTAAGTGCCTTTTGCACCAGATATATTTCATTTAGCATTTAGCATCACTTTCAATGTTCATAAAAATGAGTAAGTAAAAAAGTCCTTTTATTCCCACTCTACAAAACATACCAAGGAGAAGGTGACCTTTTAAGCATTCCTTCTCAGTGTCTTAATATCACAGCTGTTCAATAGTTTTTTCAACTAAAGATAGAATTGCACTCTTATTAAATTTCTTGTGTTTTCACATAATATAGTGAGATTAAAGCACATTTCAATCTCAGTCTTTTAAATCTTTTTATTCTCCTCAGCACCTAAGAATAGTACTTTATTCAGAGAGAATAAATTTTCACAAGATATGGAAAATCTAAAATCTTTTTCATTGTAAACTGTCTCCTTGACTCAGGAGTCAGGAGACACGAGCAAATACTTTTAAAACCAGTTGGTTCATTTTCATTCCCATCTTAAACAACTGAACTATAGTATAATCAGAATGTTAAATTATCAACTAAAGGACAAATCCTGAGTCCTTTACCAGTCTTCTGGTTACAAACTAGGTCAATAAGCAAGTAACATTGGGAAAGAGCTAGGAAAAAAGTCTTGATTTTATGCTGAAAAAAACTGTCTTTTTTTCTTTGTTAAATCTCTAAGGCAAGTCAATGGGTCTTCTGGACCAGATCAACTTGACAAATTCATCTAGCATTGTGCCTTGTCGAGAACAGGCACTCAAACATTCACTCAGAAATCAAAGATGGCTTTGTATCTTTAGCTGTGATCTGTGGTCTAATGCCCTCCAGTCTAGGCCCATTTCACTTAAGGTTCAGGACCTAGAATGACATATTCCATCTACATAGAAGATGTTCTATTCATCAAATGAATCTAAAAGAAAATCTGAGTGATTTATTTTACTTCTTTAATGTCTCCAACCCAGGCCATGGTGAGTCTACCTCATCTGTTTTCAGCATCCAGAGCCACAACATCTTGGGGTTTTTTGTTTTTGTTTTTTTTAATTTCCCATCTCTTCAGTCAGGCCAGGGAGCAAGGAGCCTTCTTGTCTGGATTTTCTCTTTCCATCAATTTCAGCATTTAGCATAACTCCTTACAGAAAGTTATTTTCCCCATGTTTTTGTCATCAAATAAGCTTTTGGCAGTAGGTAAGTTTCAATCTGAATCATAAACCTCATTTACTCCTGTGAGCATCCAGTAAGGATAAAATGATTTTTATAACCTAGGACATGAGACATTTTCAGCCTCATAGAAAGTAATCAATAGTCATTCATTAAGCCAACAGTAAATTCCTTATATCTGTATAGAACAGTAGGCTTTGTAAATTTGCACACACAGATCCCTCTTGCAGGTTCAATAATAATGAGATTTTTGTGTCCCCAGTTGCTATCTCTGGGGATAAAATAGAGTAAAAAAATCAATTACATTCAACAGATATTGTTTATATATGTGTGGTAGATTAAAGCTTATAAATTGACTTTAGATATCATCTTCTGTTAACCATGACACAATAAAGACGGGTCATCTTTATATTTCTCATGCCATGAAGAGGAGACTGGCACATATAATGGAAATAGTTAATTTCCATTCTTGCACTCATGAGAGACTTAATCCCCTACATACCCCTTCAAACTGTTCAACAGTTAACAAATCTTCAAAGTCTGACTTTTTCATCAAGTATAGTCATAACTATGATGACAGTATAAGTCTAGTACTCAGCACCAATTTTAGAGTTCATAAAATTACAACATATATATTACCTTATTCTCAGTTACAGGCACAACAAAATGACAAATTTGTGTACTCTTCAGTGCCCGTAACAGTGGGTTCACACAGCGGGCAGTTGATATTAATTCATTTAACAAGTACTTAAACGCCCAGATTATATAAATATTTATACAACCTTTCTCATAGTGGGTGTCAAGGACACAATGAGAACTTTGTAGAGACAATGCTTACCATCCACAAAGTTTTATTCACATAGAAGATATCTAATGTTTTATATAGTGCTTTATAGTTTAGAAAGCACATCATATTCATTAGGTTTTCCTCTGTTCCCTGGAAAATATACCAGTAATAATTTAATTTGATATCACCAGTAAAGTCTTGATTGATTAAAATAAGCATATCTAATTGCTTACAGCTAAATAGAAGAGGATATAAATCTCCCTCTTATTACTTGGGAGCATTATCTTGGATTTGTGCCAGCTAAAGGCAATTAATATTTATTCTTTGATTCATAAACATGTGGTCTACTGCTATTTATATACATTGCTTTCATTTACAAAGTACTTTAATCTGCACTTCCTTTCTGAAATGTTCAGTTCAATAATGTGAACATTTTTTCCCCTTTGATATCTTTAGTGCTTAAGCATGTTATTTGGCACATTAGAAGTGATCCAAATAGCTTAATGCCTTGTGTTGCAGTGTATTTGGTAGTTTAAAAGTAGTTTCTAAATGTTTTCTGCTATATGAAATATTGTATTTTTACTCAAAATCATCATAGCAGCTGAAACAAGTTGGCCACAAATACATCAATTATTCACTTATCAAACACCCAATTCCTATTATGTGCATAGTACTCATAAGTCTTTAAGTGCTTCATAGTTTACAAAGCACATTCGCATAATTTTATTCCGGTCACCTGGATGTGATCGTGATTAATCACCACATCCTTGGTGCCTTAGCATAGGGACAGGCAGACAGAAGAAAATTAATATTCAGTGCACAGTCCCTGGCATTTACATCAGGAGTGATAAACCATGGCCCATGGGCCAAATCCACTTGGTTCATGAGCTAAGAGTAAGTTTCCTTTTTAAAGAATTGTTTTAAAAAAAAATGGAACAGAGACCACATGACCCTTTAGTGGAAAAGTATGATGATCTCTGGTTTACATCATGCTCTACAACTGACAGTGCACTTGCAAATGTTAGCTGTGCATGGCTGCCAATGTATTATTAAGAAGAACACCTTGCTTTTTACTGTGTTTTACAATGCTTTTTATATATGTTTAAATCATCTTCCCTCATGACACTAAAGGGGGGAGGGAAGAGATCAATGAAAGGATTAAGCCTGCTAATATTCCCAAGTTCTATTACCTTTAAGCCTTGAGGTAGGCATTAAAGCCAGGGATGGGTTGGCACAGTCTGCCAAATTACTGGACCACTACAATGAGCAAGGAATTCAAGCTATCTCCTTGGGGCCTCTCCCAGGCCCTAGCATCCTTTTGTTCTAGCCATAACTAAGAAGTCCAAACCCCAGGATTCCTGCTCATCCACGCTCAAAGAAGATGGTGGTTGGTACCTTTCAGCAGGCTGGCACATCTGTGTATTTGTTATCTGATTCTTCTAACTGACCTGGAGCTTCGCTTCAAGTTTTTGCTAGAGAGCCTGGCATTTTTGCTCCCAGCAACCTGATGTTTTTCCTCCTCTCATCAACCTAGACCTTTGGAGAAAAGGGGAGGACTGAAATATGTCACCCATATGTCTCTCTTAGATGGAATGGAGATGAAGAGAAATGAAAGTTTAAATAACACATAAAAGTTAATAAACAGCTCAAAACTGTGGTTAAAAACTGTTTAAGATGGACCAGGAATAATACTGACAATCCAAAGATATGTGTACGGTAATAACAATATGTCAGAATTAGGGGGCTTAATTGGAGATATGAGAACTGGAAATAAGAAAAAGGTCCAAGAGTAAGTAGTAGAGCAACAGAAAAGAGCTGAGATTTAGGGTTCTCGTCTTGGAATTTCCTCTGGTTTGAGGATTTTATTCTTCCTATATTCCCAGTCATGGGCCTTCCCACCTCTTGAGCCTCTGTCCATCTAGAGAAGCTTGAATTCTGGCTTTTCATGTTTGTTTCAGGCATTCCATCCTTGAGACTCAGATCTCGGAGCTAAGGCTTTTTAATCTCAGGTCTTAGGCCTAAGTCTTAGGTTTCAAACCCTCCATGGATCTGCAATTTAAGGTCTTCAGCCTCAAGAGTTGTCAGCGTTGACTCAAGACATTCTCCATTCAACTCACGTCTTATGTCCAACAAGCAGCACCTTCTGTACATTTTTGGCTCTGTTCTGGAAGGCGTCAGGGCCGAGGTATCCCTCTATCTTGGGACATGGATTTTTTTACTTTAGTTTTCAGGTCTCAGGTCTGTAGTCTCCAATCATCTGTCTTCTGTGGGGCCTTGTACTGTCTTAGCTCTTCTTTCAGTCTAGACCCTTGGGCCTTCTTTTGGTCTGGGGTCATCTCACAGGACAGTCTGGCATCAGGAACAGTTCTACAATACTTGTTTTGGTAGCTGGCACTCTGCACCTATCGGGGAGGGGTTAGGAGCCCCTTTGTCACAAAGAATACAAACATGCACACAAAAGCGCACACGCAGGCACAAAAAATATGCAAGGAGTGAGGCTTGTATGAAACAAAGAAGAGGAGACACAAATACATGAAGCAGCTGAAACACTCAAAAGGTGAGCAGAAAGGGAAAAGAGAAGACCCAGGAAAACAGACAGACAACCACTAGAATGGAAATTCACAAAGAGCAGAGACATTGAAGCACACAAAGCATGAAAAAGAGGAAAGAAGATAGCCAAGAGGTAGAAAGGAAATGTAGAAGAGAAATGCGAGCTAAGGAAGAAAAACAACAGAAGAGAGACCAGAATCAGAAAAGATGAAACGTCACATCAACAAGAAAGGGAGGGGGTCACAAACAATCAGAGCTACAATGAGAAAAAGTGAAGTAGGTGGAACAAGAAATAAGCAAAAAGCACACAACATGAGATGCAGAGACACAAAGTGATGAAGAGTGAAAGAAGAGTCAGATACAGGACAGCAAAGCGAAAACTAGAAAAAAGCAAAAAACTAGGAAAAAAGAGAAAACTAGAAAGATACCTAAGACAAGGCATAGACCACTCAGGAACACAAAAGGCAGTGAGGCAAGATACACATGGAAAAAACTAGCAAGAGAATCATGGAAATGGGTTCAGACACACTTTAGATAGAGAAGAAAGACCAAGACACTCAAGGAAGAATTGGACAAAGAAATACACACTTAGGAGTGAAAGTGATAGCAAGCAAAGGCAGACATTCAGCAGGAGCAGTTAAGAAGTAAAAGAAACAAGCCATTGTACAATGAAGGGACACAAGACGCACAAGAAGCATCACAAAGAGAAAACAAAAGAAAACGAAGAAGTTCATTAATAATTACAATAAGCAATTACTAACACAAATACTACTTACATTACTACCAATAATAAAAATTATAACAACAACCACCCAACGCAAATGTTCTTCTACTTACAAAGTGCTATTTTGGGAACTTTTTACACAAAAGCAAATTATGGCAACTTTGCTTGCCCCTAGATGGTATTATTTGGTCACTGTGTCAATGAACTGATGAAGCTTCTTGGGTTTTCTTCTATTTAACCGTGTGTCAGGCATTGTATTAAGCACAACATGATTTCATTCAACCTGCACAAATAGACAAATCTAATCAGACACTAATTGTCCAATCAGACCCTCATCACCTAATGAGAGGCAAAGGATTTAAGCACAGAATATGTGCCTCTTAACATTCTGGTACAACTGGTAAGGATTTCCAGAAGAACCAAACAAGAAGCTACATGTGAGTGAATATAAAGGGCCCTCACAGAGCACCTTGTGAATCCCCTCATTGTCTATGTCCCGTTAGAAAACTGACTTGATTTTCAAACCCTTCGCAATTATAATGGCAGATTCAATTACTGGGTTTCCTCTAACACTGAATGTTAACTGCAGAGACTGTCTTACAAGGAAGTGAGAGAAGGCCACCCTTTCAGCAAAAAAAAAGTGATCTTGTTTTATGTCTCTATATGTTTAGGACTCCAAAAGTGGCAAAGGCTCTTATTTGTGTCGACAAACAATTTGAGACTGAATTACTCGATGATACAACTGGTAAACAGCCTTTGTCTATCAGATGCTTCAGTGAACCCAGCTGTCACTGGTCATCCTTCCATCTCACACTCAGTCCCCCTGCATGTTAGACCTCCGTACTTCATCCCACATATGTAGTTATTAGCTCTGAAGTGACCCTCACAAGATTATACCACCGGGCCTCCCCAGTGGTGCAGCGGGTTGAGCACAGCGCTGTGAAACTGTCCGCAGCCTTGGCGGCGCCAGTTCGATTCCCGGCCGGTCAGGGAGAGTCCCACATGGCGCGGCAGACCTCTCCTGTCTCACACGCTGCTACCCTCAGCAGTGTATTTCAGTCCTTCTGCCTGTTCTGCTCCCTGCTCTGTCTCTGGTAGATTCTCTCATGCTCCCATCCTCTGGCCTGTACCCCAGTGCTTGTATAAATAAATCAATCTTTAAAAACAAAACAAAACAAAAAAACAAGATTATACCACCACTTACTTACTTTATTCTGCTATTTTAAAGTGTTAGAGTGCCAGAAGTGTTGATCTTCTTTTGGCGTATTCAGAGTTCATACTCTCTTGCTCTGCTTTCGGGAAGGATAATGATTTGGTAAGTATGAAGGAAACAATCAAGAGCTACAAAAAAGAAAAGAGAGATAAACCATGTAAATGCCATAAAGAAATATTAAGAGGGCCTCCCCGGAGGCGCAGCGGTTGAGCGCTGGGTTGCGAAGCTGCCCGCAGCCTCTGCAGAGCCGGTTCAATCCCCAGCTGCTCCCCGGCCACTGGAGGAGGGTCCCACAAGGTGCGCAGACCTCTCCTGCCGCCCGCTGCTCCCCTCAGCAGTGTACTTCGGTCCTTCTGCCTGCTCTGCTCCCTGCTCTGGCTCTGGTGAATTCTCTCACCCTCCCACGCTCTGACTGTACCCAGTACTTGTATAAATAAATAAAAATAAATCTTTAAAAAAAAAAAAGAAATATTAAGAGATTATTCAGCACATTTGAATGTGAAGATGCAAATTAGTGAGCTATGGAGACTGTCTCTAGAGAGTTTAGAAATGTGTAAGTTTAAGCTTTTAGGCCCTTAGAGATAAAACTAATACAATTTCTTCATTCAACAAAATAGGAAACTATGGCATAAATAGGAAATGTCTTACCTAGTAACATCTGGTGAGTCAATGGAAATAATCATAACTTCGTTCATTTAGTTCAATATTAATCTGTACAAAGCTGGACTTACGACACCGCCACCTCCCAACCTGCACCCACCCGAATCAGCCTCCCTCACCACTGACCTAGAGTATGCCGGCTCCTGCTTCTTAGTTCTTGCCTGGTGCAATATAACTTTGTGCCATTTTTAGTCAGGTTCCCATTCATAGTTGTGAGGCCCCCATCACAGCTTAAAATGATCAAGTCTTATTTGTCTTTCCAAGCAATTTGTTGTCTTTTATCCCAAGGACATCCCAAGGCATCTTGAAGTAAGTAAATGATTGGCAAAGTTCAAGGACCACAAGGGAGACTTTGCAGATGAGAGGCTCCAGAATGATGATCTGCCCAAGACCACTAACACAAATGTAGCAGTTGTTGTCCATGCTCTCCTAAAAGTAAGTACAGACACAGTTGATGATGAAAACAATCTCAGTGGAAAGCTATGTACAATATCTACCGGAAAACAAGATCAGGATTAAAGACCTCTTTTTTTTTAAATTACATTGCTGTAGTCCCCATAGTTCTCCCACCACCTTATCACCCATGAACCATCACCATATTACCCTTGTGTTCTTCCCTCCCCAGTTTTGAGCCCCCTCCTTCCCCTTCCTTTGCTGAAGACCTATGATGCTTTTAGGGACAGCACACCCATCTCTGACATGTGGTAGTTGTCCTGAGATTTCATCTACCCACCTGTGCCCAGGAAGAAACTTGGTAGCACCTCCTCTCCTACATTAGGATTGTTGCCCAGTGGTAGTGAGCTTTTCCCTTGGAGGATCCTCATGCCCCATCTCCACCTAGGGACCGTCAAAGGGAATAGGTCGCTAACACTGTAAAGCAACAAGCCTATTCTTCTGAGGGAGATCTGGAAAAGAGATAAAAGAAAAATAAATTACTGAAGAGCAGTACACTCACAAAGTCTGTTCCAGTGGGCAACTAGTGGTTGAGTTAAACTGTATCTACCCTTTTCTACAGGTAGATGAAGGGGTGGTGATTTAGAACTGTGTAGAACTTAGCTTTGTAGCATTCTCTTTTTTTTTTTTTTTTTTAAAGATTTATTTATTTATTTATTTAAACAAGCACTGGGTACAGTCAGAAGCGCGGGAGGGTGAGAGAATTCACCAGAGCCAGAGCGGGGAGCAGAGCAGGCAGAAGGACCAAAGTACACTGCTGAGGGGAGCAGCGGGTGGCAGGAGAGGTCTGCACGCCATGTGGGACCCTCCTCCGGTGGCCGGGGAGCAGCCGGGGATGGAACCGGCGCTGCAGAGGCCGCGGGCAGCTTTGCAACCCAGCGCTCAATCACTGCGCCACCAGGGAGGCCCTCATGTTCTGTTTTAAAAGGAAGATCTGGAGGAAGTTAACGTCCTTAAAGCCAAAGACAAAAATCCCCCAACGACAAGCTCCCCAAATTACCTTTTTTCTCCAGGTAGATTGCAAGTCATCCTCTTAGATTAACTGGCGATTATCCAGATTCTCAAATTGAAAGATCTGCTGAATGTGGACATTCTTAAAGCTGCTTACAGTCCTCTTGTGAGAATGTCCTTGAAAAGAAAGACAGTTCAATAGGACACCAAAACTGCTGAGAAAAACTCAAGAAAAAAACTAGGAAGCTTTAACCTGAAGCATTAGGTATAAGTGTCTCCTAGCTCTCCTCCCTAGCCTATTCAGTCTCCCTAAGTCCTGCATGGCAAGCGCTGGCAGTATCACAGAAGGATTGGTCAAGCTTAGAAAATGAAGTAAACGGAAATAAGGGGTCAAACCAATGCCCACCATAAGGTCTGATAAAATTTGTGGCCTAAAGGTCATCCTGTTGCTGAAAATACTTCTTCAAGATGTAAGATAACAGAGCAACTGCTACTACTGCCCAGGGGCAACTGCCTTGACCATTTTTAATAACTGGTTAGCTGCCTTTACTATAGGGTAGGAGCTCCCTGAAACAGATCTAAGCCAAGTTTGCAATCTCGAAAGCACTTGTTAAGGTGTGGTGAAGTGAGGTGAGCACCAGATATGGCTTCCCAAATTCTTGATCAGGGATTACCATGTTATGAGGACCTTTATGTTAATACTAAACAAATTATAACAATATTTGAAACCTCACTTATTCAACTGTATTCTCTAAACAAGATGTCCAGTAAAGTCCAAAGATATTCTATGATGTTCTCAATAGAAGCAGAAAATGCTTCATATTCTCTTGGCAACATTATTCTCCATCCTTATTTAACCTTAGAAACTTCATCTCCAAATACAGGTTTCCCATGACAGTGCATACAAACTTATATGTATGCTCCTTCCTAAAATCCCATTAATTATGGTAAACAAATATGCCATGTGCAAGTGTGTTTACACCGAGAATTTTTAAATAAATAGGTCCAAGCTCAATTTCATTCACAGGCTGCTTGGTTAAGGTATTTATTTTTTTTTAATATTTATTTATTTATGCATACAAGAGCTGGGGTATAGGCCAGAGATGCGGGGGGGTGAGAGGATTCACCAGAGACAGAGTGGGGAACAGAACAGGCATATTGACTGAAACACACTGCTGAGGGGAGCAGCGGGTGAGACAGGAGAGGTCTGCCTCGCCAAGTGGGTTGCTCCCTGGCTGGCCAGGGATCGAACTCGTGCTGCAGAGGCTGCGGATTGCTTCATAGTGCAGTGCTTAACCCCTTGCGCCACCAGGGAGGCCCTTGAGTTATATTTTGAAAAACATCTGTTGAGTGCTACTTGTCTCCACCCCAAAATATGGTAGTGAGAAAATTAAGGTGTCCTCCAATCCAGTCTGTAAGACCTGAGGCAGAGGAAGGTTTTAGCCCTGTTTAACCATACACATATCAGTACTCTTTGCAATTCAAGTTTATAATGTTTGGGGAAATAGTTCAGTTCAGGTATCAGTTCTTCTCTCTAAGCTAGCAAAAAAAATTTCCCAGGATGCTTTCACAAATAAAATATTTTAACAGCCACGATGGATCAACTTTTAATTCTTCAAGTCACAAATTCCCATCCAGGTATACTTTTAATAACCAGGGCCCAGATACCCTGAAAAGATATTATGAATGTTTAATTATAGCAACTGTGGGCCTTGTGATATTCTATGATTAATGGGGTAGTTAAAGAAATATGTTGGTAAATTACAGAAAGGCAGTGAAGTACAACCCCGGATAGTTGTGTTTTCTCCTTTTTATAAAGCAAGTGCCTGACTTAAGCTTTGATTGCCAAGGCAATCTCTTCAAAGGTGGCTGCTGTGCATAAACATATTGCCCGTCAAATGATTAGATAAAGAGACAGGCTGTGCCCCCACCCCAAGTTCCTTTTAGAGAATTTGGTTGATTTTGGTAACTAACCATTTGGGCAGCTTGTGGCTTATTTATTGTCTCCCCATGCTTTAATTTTCTGTTCTTATGTTTTAAATTCAATAATAAAAAATGAGCCCATGAAATCATTGGCCCCCTCCTTTGATCCAAAATCCCAGTGTAAGTAAACCACGTCTCTTTCAAAGTTCCTGATGATTATTGCTGAGAGTATCTTGAAACCTAACAAGAACCATGAGGGTTGATCCAGCCACAACTCTGAGTTATCAGTAGGTGTGACAATGGTATAGAGCAGGTAAGTAGAAGAGCTGAAGGATAAGGGGAGAGATGCACAAAACTGGGGTCAGAGAACTTCCTCCAATCATATATATTAAGGTTCTGTAAGGAGGAAAAGTTAGAAAAGAAATCACAATAATCCAGAAAAATATCCCAAAAAGTGCTTTCTTTTTTGATGCTTTGAAATTTTTTCCAATGACAGGATGTCATTTTCAGAGGTTGAAGCATTCAAGTCCCTGTCTTAATTCATCTGCAGTCCCTAGATAATGAAGTTGAGATTGATCCGAGGTGAGAGACAGGACCAAAGGCTATGTGTTCTTATTCCCAGTTTGGAACTTTTTCAGAATTTTGCCAACATCTCACTCCTGCCCAAAAACTGATGAAAAAGAACAGTGATTCACTCCATCTAAGAGAACACTTGCAAAGAACAAGAGCCCTGTAGTGCCTTCAGGCCTCAGCTTACACACCCACAGCTCACTAAGCCACTCCCTGGGGACACCTTCCACTTCTCCCTTGACATCACTTTGCCCACCAAGAGTGTTCCCCCCACTCTTCTTCGTTCTTGCCCCACAAAATTTCCCAACATTTTTATGGTACTCATCAACCGGCCAAGCACCATAATGACTTTGACATTTCTGCATCCTCTATGAGAGAGAAAATCCTTTGAAAGGAATCATGTCTTTGGTTTTGTTATTTATACCAGTGCTTGGCCCAAAAAATATTTAGCATTAACACAAAGATTATCTCAATTTTGAAGATGCCAACATTTCCAGAGCTTCCCTTTTTACAACTGCTAGAGATTTTAAGCAATGACTTGAAATACAAAGTCCAGATATATTGCAAAATTCACCTTTGGATGCTGTGTGGTGCAAGCGTAAATCCGCCTGAGGCTGGCAACCATCCTTCTTCTTAGAATGGATACAAAACCGGATCAGAATTCATTCCTTTAAAACAAATTCCAAGAGACAGTTATAGTTCTAAATTGACTAGTATAAATAAAAGATTTCATAAATATAGACCAGTGTTTCTCAAATTGGGGTGATAAGAACCCTGGGGTGGCTGTGGTTATGTTCTCGTGGATCCCAAAGTCCTGCATGTTATCACACAAAACATGTCTCAGGCAAAGATAACTTCAAATTATAACATGTTACATTTCAAGTAACTTTCTTTAATCAGTTCCTCAAAACACATATTCTTTAGGATCTTAAAAATTTTGCTGCTTTAAAGGGTATTTCATCCTGATAAATTACTTCAGTTTGAGAAACAATGGCACAGACCATGTTTCCAATAAGGCTCAGGACCATTTGTATTGATATATTTAATGCCCTGTCAGACGAATGTCTTTAGGCATTGGGAGAAGTAGGGGGTGGGGACAAGTTGTGAGAAAATATGGATATGAAGTAAAATGAGCAGTAAGAGAAGCCCAGCTCATTTATTTGGTTCTTCTTGTTCCCGCTAAGATGCATGGACGTGCACAAAAAAATGTTTCAAATTTGATGTTAATATTTTCTCAGCTGGACCTTTGTGTTAGTATTATGAAAACACATCAGAATGGCTAAGCTACTTTAGTTTACCCAAGTACTTGTTGAAAAGAGGAAGGGGAAGAGGATATAGAAAGTATGTCATAAAGTAGGCAAAGGTCAAGGTTCTTATATAAAACATTTGTCCATTGCCTTCTTGCCAAGCATATTCCATAAACATCTCAAACTAAAAAGGCATCACTGCTTTCATCTGCTCTTGGGCAGAGATAGAACAAAAAGGTACAAAGAACCAATGTATTGGATTTATATCCCCAATCCATGAACCTTGAAAACCTCAAATTATGAGATGTTACAGTCAACAGTCAGCCTTGGCATATAGCCAAATCCAATGGCCAGATATCGCTTTAATTGTTTTCCATGCCTCCAAAAGAGGCACAAAACAAATGACATTAAGATACACCAACTGAACTATCCAGAAGCTTAGAGTATTCGTCATGTCATGGACCAAAGAGAGAAAGTAAAACTTCCTCCTCCTTTGTCCTATCGACTTCAAACCCTAGTGGGTTCCCTTTTTAAAACTCCATAACTTAAAGTTCATACAAAGCAGCACTTGATTATCATTCCCTAAATTTATTCCAAGTGTGCGTAAATTAGTGCCTCAATACCAATCATCTCGAGGGCAAGAGATCATATGGAACAATATAATTTCTACTCCTCACTTCAGTGTAACCTAGCATAGGGCTGGGTACACAATAGACCATCTGTAATCCTGCTGGTTAGCTCATGTGGCGATAGAGGTAGCAGCTGCAGATGAGGTGGGGACAGGAAAGGAGACTGAGGGGACTCCGTGGCTTTTCTATGGGCAGCATCTTAAAGAAAGACAACAGCACAGGGAAGGGATTACTTAGAAGCTACAAAGCAGTACTTACAGTATTCTAAAGAGCCAGAGACTCTTCTTACAGCTGTCCAAGGAGCTAGTAGTGCATACTGCACCCTGAGCTGGGCCGATCTTTTGACATCCTTCTCAGAGGAATAGTATCCTTTTTCAGTGACTACCAAGAACTGCTGTTGTGATACCTAGTTACTTGTTTCAGCAGTTCCTTACTAAATTTTCTCTGCTACCAAACAGCCTGTATATAAGAGGCTGGGGTATTATTCACTTTATCAGACAACAACTCACTGCTAAAATTTATACCCAGAAAAATGATTAATCTTGGCTCATCTTTCTTTTAATATAACACAGAAAAATTGGTCCCATCAGTTCTAAATCCTCACTTGCGTGTGGTGCTTTGAGCTACCTTAATTCAGCATAATGAAAACAGGGTGCATTTTATGTAATAGAGTATCACAGAAGGTGATCTATGATTTTCAAAGGCACCTCAGCATATGTCCATTCTCTCATTTAATTGTTTTACAACAATCTTGCTGAAATAAATAGGGACTGGGCTGGTTGGTGCTCCAGATGAAGAAATTTCAGGACTACAAAGTTTCCACAGTTGTTCTAAAAATGAATGGTAGTAGAGCCCAAAGGTACCGGTCTTTGAGAGTTTCACTTGAGAACTCACTAGCTTTACTAACAATAAAATAGCAAGAGTCACAGTGGTCTGCCCACAGACCAACCACCCTTAGTAAAATGAGAGACACTGGTCATTAGGTACATGAGATAAATGGGTTTTTAGACTTCAAATATTTAATGACCAGGTTATTAACTCCACCTTACATTCCAGACACCTTTCTTTAGAAAATGAAAAATTAGTAACTTTTGGTTGCCTCCTGGCAACTGGCATTTAACAACAGCAACACATAAGATGAGAGATTTACAGCCAGGCAAACTGTGCAGGAAAGAATGCAGAGACGACGCTAACCTGCTTTCCTGGGGAACCAGTTTTTAACTGGTAGTGATATATATGGAACATACAAAAGAAAAGCCAGCAATCCAGCTCTGTGGGCCTGGCTTATCTTGAGCATTTAGCCCAGTAAAGCAGCAACAGAGGTGGGCAAGAATGGTTCCTGTCCCCAGAAAGTGACGATTGGTGTTGGGATCATTAACAAATGCAGGAAAAGGAATGAGAGTCCATCCACCGAGTTTCGACCTGCTTTTGGTAGTCAACACTGCACAAACACAACATGGAGATCTTGGGCTGATGGGCTGGAAAATGGGACAATATTACTGCGTTAATTAAGAACACGGGGTGGGGGGCTTTGGGCGTGCACTACTCAGAAGCAATGCAAAGAAGGAAGTGGAAGGGTCCCTGTCTGATTGGCAGGATAAAGGAAAGTGCAACTGAAGCACTGTAACAATGCAAAGTAGGTAAACCAATAACCTCTGAGATTGTTACTTTTTTAACCCAAGAGGAAGGGACTTGCCCACTAAACATTCCCCAGCAACAAAGGGGCAGGGCAGGGGCAGGGGGTGGAGATGGCACAATCTTATTTAATGGTTTGAAATATGGACACTTGAAGTAGTTCATCAGGATTCAAGGAGAGGCAAGGGGAGGGAAGGGGAAGGAGGAAAGACCATGACTACTTGGAATTTTATAGAGTGGAGCAATGCAAAAGGAACGGGAGTGTGGGCAGCTGGTGGGCAAATTCATGGCATAGTGTGATGTTTTTACTTGTATGTATCACAGGAAGTTGGGGGCTGGGAGTGTTTGCCTAACAACGCCAGGGAAGAAAATTGCCTTTCTGCCCATTTACAGTCCCAGGAGAAATTTTGTGCAGTCAACAGCCCCTGCAGTATTGCAAAGAGGGTATAAGTATGCTACTCTAACAGGATGGGAAATAGGTAATTGCAAATATTCACGCTAACAGTCAAAGAAAAGGGCCTTAGTCTGTATTCCTGCTGAAAGGTACATGAAAGGTAAAAGGGTCTTATCTAATGATCAATATTTTGATCATGGTTATTACTGCATATTAACTGTCCCAAAGCTGAGGTAATGATAGTTAGTAGTCCTCAGCAACAATCCGAAGGCAGTGGTCGAAGCATAACATCCTTTCCTACGGTACAGGTCTACAGACAAATACAATTATGCACACTAATATTCTTAGAAGAAGAGTTCATTCATCGTTAACATGGCCGTGAGGCAAGGAGGGTGAAAAGGGATGCAATCCCAGTCCGGTGGAATAGATGGACAAATGCAATTATGCTTATTTATAAGTACAAAGAGCATTAGGTCAACAGCACTGCCTTGCTCTAACACAGAAGGTACAGGGGTTCTGGCATAAGACATGCTTAGAAAAATTGCATTTGTGAACACGAACTTTCCAAGTGAAAGAATACTGAGTCGTGGGCACTGCAACTACACATACCACCTGTCCACAAGGAAAGCTGAGGGGTATGATTTTGTCTACTGATGAAGACAATTCCAATAATGCATATTAGTGGTCCACTCCAAAGGTAGCTGGGGCTGGGGTGTGGGTAGAAAACGGTAGCCTCCACAGTAGAACAAAAGAGGTACAGTCCTAGTAAGCAATAGGGTTGTAGAAAACTGCACTTGTGCACATTAACTGTCTTTGTGTTCAGGTATTAGCAGTGGGCACCTGCTGGAAAGCATATGAATTCATATGGCAGCGGTGAGGGGGCCCAAGCACTCAGACAATTGCAATTACGTTCATTGGCAGGACAAGAGAAGACGAATGGGACAGTAGCCCTGCTCCAATTCAAATGGAGGGCAAGAGTGGCAATTATGTGCAATAATGTCCCATGTAGCAAACTAGAACTATACACCTCGTGCAAATATAAGAACCTTAAATTAGTGTGTACTCCTAACTAAAACAAAAACTAAAGAGAGGGAAGTCCTTAAAAAGTCCAGGCACATGAAAAATATAGTCACATTAACAAGCCATGGAGAGGCCTTAGTGATCAGTCCCCATGTTAGACTGCAAAGGATTAACAGGGTAAGATTTTATTTAAATAGGTTCAAACGTGTAATTACGCATATTATTCTCCAAGGTGCATGGTGGGGGCAATTGCCATTGTGCGTCTTGACTGTCCAAGCGCAACCATCTTGGGGACGGGGCAATGGGAGGGAAAAGATGGGCGTGAGGAATGGGTTTGTCCAGTGCAGGAATTCAAATATAACCGCACAAAGAGCAGCAGGCCAGGAAGGGAGGCCTCTGTGGTCAGCACCCCTGTTGTACTGCAAAAGGGGTCTGAGAGGGCAGGATCGGATTCATATGGGATGAGCCATGTGCAATTGTGCTAATTAATCTCCAAGGTGCACGGCGTGGGCAATTGCCATTGTGCATCTTGATGGTCCAAGCGCAAGCATCTTGGGGACGGGGCACCCCTCTGTGGTCAGCACCCCTGCTGTACTGCAAAAGGGGTCTGAGAGGGCAGGATTGGAATCATATGGGGTGAGCCATGTGCAATTGTGTTTATTAATCTCCAAGGTGCACGGCGTGGGCAATTGCCATTGTGCATCTTGACTGTCCAAGTGCAACCATCTTGGGGACGGGGCAAGGGAGGGAAAAGATGGGGGTGAGGGATGGGCTTGTCCAGTGCACAGGAATTCAAATATAACCGCACAAACAGCAGCAGGCCTGGAAGGGAGGCCTCTGTGGTCAGCACCCCTGCTGTACTGCAAAAGGGGTCTGAGAGGGCAGGATCAGATTCACATGGGATGAGCCATGTGCAGCTGTGCTTATTAATCTCCAAGGTGCACGGTGTGGGCAATTGCCATTGTGCGTCTTGACTGTCCAAGCACAACCATCTTGGAGACGGGGCAAGGGAGGGAAAAGATGGGGGTGAGGGATGGGCTTGTCCAGTGCACAGGAGTTCAAATATAACCGCACAAACAGCAGCAGGCCGGGAAGAGAGACCTCTGTGGTCAGCACCCCTGCTGTACTGCAAAAGGGGTCTGAGAGGGCAGGATCGGATTCATATGAGGTGAGCCATGTGCAATTGTTCTTATTAATCTCCAGGGTGCACAGCGTGGGCAATTGCCATTGTGCGTCTTGACTGTCCAAGCGCAACCATCTTGGGGACGGGGCACCCCTCTGTGGTCAGCACCCCTGCAGTACTGCAAAAGGGGTCTGAGAGGGCAGGATCGGATTCATATGGGGTGAGCCATGTGCAATTGTGCTCATTAATCTCCAGGGTGCACAGCTGTGGGCACTTGGCATTGTCCATCTTGGGGAGGGGACACTCTTTAGTTGTCACAAAGGGAGTGGGGAGAAGAGTTTTCTTTGTGTACTGTACAGAAACCCAGACAAGTAGGTTCACACATATTAGCAGGCCAAGTAATAGGACGTTATGGGTCAACCGCCCTGCAGTACTTCGAAGGACATGTGAAGGGAAAGGATACTAATGTAATTGTTGTTATGTACACTAACAGTTTTGAACAGGAACCTTAAGTGACTATTACCCCTTGCGGTAAAGCAAAGAGGGTGTAAAATGTGCCATGGACTCAGTTAATTCAACTGAAAATGTATACAAGGCGACTAAGATTGTACACATTAACTGCATTACTGTGTAAGGTTTTCAGTAGTAGGCTGAAATGTCAGAAAAATGGGAAGGGTCCTTACCCAATGTACAGGTACAGGAGCAAATGTCAGTATGGACAAACATTCTGAATGGATAATGGCTAACTTGAAGCCTCTGCCATAATGTAAACAGGGCAAGGAAACAGGATCCTATTTTAACATAAGGGGACACCGACTGCTGTAATAATACACATTTACGCTATAGGAGAAGCAGCCATAGTTTGGTTCAGCATCCATAATGCAAAGGAGGTATGATGGGAATGGGACCCTAGCACAATTTTACACATTAACTGATCAAGAGGAAGACTTTTGGTGGTCAGTGCCCCCTGCTATTATACTAAGAAGTCAGGATATTAGCTTATCAGGAAGGCACATGCACATTAAGACCCCCAAGAGGAAGACTTTGGGTAGTTAGCATCACTACTAGAAGGGTGGGATATTAGTTTATATGGAGGGCTAAATAGTCCCAGAAAAAAAGTAACATTTAATTAATACACCTTGCTGTAACAAAACAAGGGTACAAGGGACTCCATCTGCCATACACTTCTGGTCAATTACCATGTAATAGAAAAGTGTTACGTAAAGTGGGTCGGTAGGTGAAAACAAGGAAGATGAGTAAGGTGTTCACTGACAGCACAGCAAGAGGGACAGACGCAATTATGACATTAACAGTGCCAAAGCCAGGGCCCTGATATTCACTACTCTCTATTGTATTGAAAAGGACGCAGGAAGGGGTGGGAAACTACACTAGGAACAGGACCAAGCTACAGTTAAGAACTATAACAGTCCCAAACAACCTCTGCAGCTATGCAAAGGAAGTAGGAAAAGATGGGGAAAGAAAAACATAAGGGACCACAGCTACAAGTGAGTAAGTAAACCATCCCAAGAACTCTCTGCTATAATGCAAAGGAGTAGCAGGGGGTGGGAAACTAGAGGAAGGAAAGGAACCAGGGCACTAACTAAGCACTGGAACAGTCCCGAATAACTTCTGCAATAGTGCAAAGGCCTGTGAAACTGGAATAACATTAGGGACCAGAGCTGCAATGAAGCACTTTAACGATCCCAAGAAGTACCTGCTTTAATGCGAAGGCCTGTGAAACTGCAGTAACATTAGGGACCACAGCTGCAACGAAGCACTTTAACGGTCCCAAGTAGCATGTGTTTTAATGCAAAGGCCTGTGAAACTGCAGTAACATTAGGGACCACAGCTGCAATGAAGCACTTCAACAATCCTGAGTAGCCTCTGCTTTAATGCAAAGGTTCTAAATAAGGCCTGTGAAATTGCAGTAACATTAGGGACCACCGCTGCAATGAAGCACTTTAACGGTCCCAAGCAGTACCTGCTTTAATGCAAAGGCCTGTGAAACTGCAGTAACATTAGGGGCCACAGCTGCAATGAAGCACGTTAACGGTCCCAAGTAGTATCTGCTTTAATGCAAAGGCCTGTAAAACTGCAGTAACATTAGGGACCACAGCTGCAATGAAGCACTTCAACAATCCCGAGTAGCCTCTGCTTTAATGCAAAGGTTCAAAATAAGGCCTGTGAAACTGCAGTAACATTAGGAACCACAGCTGCAATGAAGCACTTTAATGGTCCCAAGCATTACCTGCTTTAATGCAAAGGCCTGTGAAACTGCAGTAATATTAGGGACCACAGCTGCAATGAAGCACTTCAACAATCCCAAGTAGCCTCTGCTTTAATGCAAAGGTTCTAAATAAGGCCTGTTAAACTGCAGTAACATTAGGGGCCACAGCTGCAATGAAGCACTTTAACGGTCCCAAGCAATACCTGCTTTAATGCAAAGGCCTGTGAAACTGCAGTAACATTAGGGACCGCAGCTGCAATGAAGCACATTAACGGTCCCAAGCAGTACCTGCTTTAATGCAAAGGCCTGTGAAACTGCACTGTAACATTAGGGGCCACAGCTGCAAGGAAGCTTTTAACGGTCCCAAGCAGTACCTGCTTTAATGCAAAGGCCTGTGAAACTGCACTGTAACATTAGGGGCCACAGCTGCAAGGAAGCTTTTAAAGGTCCCAAGCAGTACCTGCTTTAATGCAAAGGCCTGTGAAACTGCAGTGTAACATTAGGGGCCACAGCTGCAATGAAGCACTTTAACGGTCCCAAGCAGTACTTGCTTTAATGCAAAGGCCTGTGAAACTGCAGTAACATTAGGGACCACAGCTGCAATGAAGCACTTTAACGGTCCCAAGTAGTATCTGCTTTAATGCAAAGGCCTGTAAAACTGCAGTAACATTAGAGACCACAGCTGCAATGAAGCACTTCAACAATCCCGAGTAGCCTCTGCTTTAATGCAAAGGTTCAAAATAAGGCCTGTGAAAGTGAAGTAACATTAGGGACCAGAGCTGCAATGAAGCACTTTAACGATCCCAAGAAGTACCTGCTTTAATGCGAAGGCCTGTGAAACTGCAGTAACATTAGGGACCACAGCTGCAATGAAGCACTTTAATGGTCCCAAGCATTACCTGCTTTAATGCAAAGGCCTGTGAAACTGCAGTAATATTAGGGACCACAGCTGCAATGAAGCACTTCAACAATCCCAAGTAGCCTCTGCTTTAATGCAAAGGTTCTAAATAAGGCCTGTTAAACTGCAGTAACATTAGGAACCACAACTGCAATGAAGCACTTCAACAGTCCCAAGTACTATCTGCTTTAATGCAAAGGCCAGTGAAACTGCAGTAACATTAGGGACCACAGCTGCAACAAAGCACGTTCACGGTCCCAAGCAGTACCTGCTTTAATGCAAAGGCCTGTGAAACTGCAGTAACATTAGGGGCCACAGCTGCAATGAAGCACTTTAATGGTCCCAAGCAGTACCTGCTTTAATGCAAAGGCCTGTGAAACTGCAGTAACATTAGGGGCCACAGCTGCAATGAAGCACTTTAACGGTCCCAAGCAGTACCTGCTTTAATGCAAAGGCCTGTGAAACTGCAGTTAACATTAGGGACCACAGCTGCAATGAAGCACATTAATGGTCCCAATCAGTACCTGCTTTAATGCAAAGGCCTGTGAAACTGCAGTGTAACATTAGGGGCCACAGCTGCAAGGAAGCTTTTAAAGGTCCCAAGCAGTACCTGCTTTAATGCAAAGGCCTGTGAAACTGCAGTGTAACATTAGGGGCCACAGCTGCAATGAAGCACTTTAATGCAAAGGCCTGTGAAACTGCAGTAACATTAGGGGTCACAGCTGCAATGAAGCACTTTAACGGTCCCAAGCAGTACCTGCTTTAATGCAAAGGCCTGTGAAACTGCAGTAACATTAGGGACCGCAGCTGCAATGAAGCACATTAACGGTCCCAAGCAGTACCTGCTTTAATGCAAAGGCCTGTGAAACTGCACTGTAACATTAGGGGCCACAGCTGCAAGGAAGCTTTTATTTTATTTTTTTTTTTTTTTTTAATAGAGGCATGCTTTTATTTATTTGTTTGTTTGTTTTGTTTATACATGCACTGGGTACAGTCAGAAGCACGGGAGGGTGGGAGAAGTCACCAGAGCCAGAGCGGGGAGCAGAGCAGGCAGAAGGACCGAAGGACACTGCTGAGGGGAGCAGCGGGCGGCAGGAGAGGTCCGCGCGCCATGTGGGACCCTCCTCCGGTGGCCGGGGAGCAGCCGGGGATCGAACCGGCGCTTCAGAGGCCGCGGGCAGCTTCGCAACCCAGCGCTCAACCGCTGCGCCACCGGGGAGGCCCAGGAAGCTTTTAAAGGTCCCAAGCAGTACCTGCTTTAATGCAAAGGCCTGTGAAACTGCAGTAACATTAGGGACCGCAGCTGCAATGAAGCACATTAACGGTCCCAAGCAGTACCTGCTTTAATGCAAAGGCCTGTGAAACTGCAGTAACATTAGGGGCCACAGCTGCAATGAAGCACTTTAACGGTCCCAAGCAGTACCTGCTTTAATGCAAAGGCCTGTGAAACTGCAGTTAACATTAGGGACCACAGCTGCAATGAAGCACATTAATGGTCCCAATCAGTACCTGCTTTAATGCAAAGGCCTGTGAAACTGCAGTGTAACATTAGGGGCCACAGCTGCAAGGAAGCTTTTAAAGGTCCCAAGCAGTACCTGCTTTAATGCAAAGGCCTGTGAAACTGCAGTAACATTAGGGACCACAGCTGCAACAAAGCACGTTTTTGGTCCCAAGCAGTACCTGCTTTAATGCAAAGGCCTGTGAAACTGCACTGTAACATTAGGGGCCACAGCTGCAAGGAAGCTTTTAACGGTCCCAAGCAGTACCTGCTTTAATGCAAAGGCCTGTGAAACTGCAGTAACATTAGGGACCACAGCTGCAATGAAGCACATTAACGGTCCCAAGCAGTACCTGCTTTAATGCAAAGGCCTGTGAAACTGCACTGTAACATTAGGGGCCACAGCTGCAAGGAAGCTTTTAAAGGTCCCAAGCAGTACCTGCTTTAATGCAAAGGCCTGTGAAACTGCAGTGTAACATTAGGGGCCACAGCTGCAATGAAGCACTTTAATGGTCCCAAGCAGTACCTGCTTTAATGCAAAGGCCTGTGAAACTGCAGTTAACATTAGGGACCACAGCTGCAATGAAGCACATTAATGGTCCCAATCAGTACCTGCTTTAATGCAAAGGCCTGTGAAACTGCAGTGTAACATTAGGGGCCACAGCTGCAAGGAAGCTTTTAAAGGTCCCAAGCAGTACCTGCTTTAATGCAAAGGCCTGTGAAACTGCAGTAACATTAGGGACCACAGCTGCAATGAAGCACTTTAACGGTCCCAAGCAGTACCTGCTTTAATGCAAAGGCCTGTGAAACTGCAGTAACATTAGGGACCACAGCTGCAACGAAGCACATTAATGGTCCCAAGTACTATCTGCTTTAATGCAAAGGCCTGTGAAACTGCAGTAACATTAGGGACCGCAGCTGCAATGAAGCACTTTAACGGTCCCAAGCAGTACCTGCTTTAATGCAAAGGCCTGTGAAACTGCAGTAACATTAGGGACCACAGCTGCAATGAAGCACATTAACGGTCCCAAGCAGTACCTGCTTTAATGCAAAGGCCTGTGAAACTGCAGTAACATTAGGGGCCGCAGCTGCAATGAAGCACATTAATGGTCCCAATCAGTACCTGCTTTAATGCAAAGGCCTGTGAAACTGCAGTGTAACATTAGGGGCCACAGCTGTAAGGAAGCTTTTAAAGGTCCCAAGCAGTACCTGCTTTAATGCAAAGGCCTGTGAAACTGCAGTGTAACATTAGGGGCCACAGCTGCAATGAAGCACTTTAACGGTCCCAAGCAGTACCTGCTTTAATGCAAAGGCCTGTGAAACTGCAGTAACATTAGGGACCACAGCTGCAACGAAGCACATTAATGGTCCCAAGCAGTACCTGCTTTAATGCAAAGGCCTGTGAAACTGCAGTTAACATTAGGGACCGCAGCTGCAACGAAGCACATTAACGGTCCCAAGCAGTACCTGCTTTAATGCAAAGGCCTGTGAAACTGCACTGTAACATTAGGGGCCACAGCTGCAAGGAAGCTTTTAAAGGTCCCAAGCAGTACCTGCTTTAATGCAAAGGCCTGTGAAACTGCAGTGTAACATTAGGGGCCACAGCTGCAAGGAAGCACTTTAACAGTCCCAAGTAGCCTCTGTTGTTATGCAGAGTAGAGGATATTCAAACTCTCCTAACAAAAGGAAATATAGGTATAATCAAGCAATTTTTCACAGTTTACATAGTCTCATGTAGTGCACAGGGTGAGAATATATTGGTTTCCTAGACACATGGATGTATCATGCCATAATTACGCATTTTATCAGTTCCATGTACCTCTGCTGTCATACAAAGGAAGCACAAAGGAATTGGATACCAGAGAAATATTGAAGTGCAAATGAGCACTTTAACAGTTCCTCAAGCCTCTATAGAAATGCAAAGACGGTAGGAGGGGATGGGAGAGTAGACACAAAGACCACTGTTATAGTCAGCACCTTAATAATCAAAATATTACTCCAGGTAATGTACAGTAAAAGGAAGGGGATGGAATCCTAGAGTTATACAAATGACCACAGCTACAATTAAGTACATTAACAATCTCAAGTACTCTCCTTTGAATTGCAAAGTGCACAGGAGTCGACACAAACTGGGAAACAGAAGAGACCACAGATGCAAATGAGCACATTTAACAATTATAAACAACTAGTAAAGAAAAGGAAGTTGAAGGACAAGGGAATCCTGCAGTAACACTATTTGTATTTAAGCACATTAACAGTCCCAAGTCCCTTCTGTGGTGATGCAAACTAAACATTAGGACTATAGTTCCAATTAAATTATATAAAGTCTCAAGTACCCTCTTCAGTAATGCAAAGGGAGCTAGGAGAGGATGGGCTCTTAGGTTAAAGGGAGACACAGGGGATTGTAAATTTGCCCCAGAGAGGGGCTTTAGACATTCAATACACTTTTGATGTAAATTAAAGAAAAGGCAGAGTTCCAGATTTGAAAGGTTCCATTCGAATCATTTAGGATGGAGCACCGAAACCGCCTGAGTGCAGACTTCTAAAGGTAAGGTCCCTGCTTAAATACAAGTATAAGTGTATGGGGCTAGTTAACAGGACAAGGGCAAATGCATTTTTGGACATCATCAGTTCAAGACAATTGTCTTGGAGTGATCCACCCACATAGCACAGAATAGAATATAGTGATCCTTTCCAATGGACAGGACCTGGACACTGTGCAAACTGGTTCTTTAGTTCTTCAAATAATATCCCACAGACAGTGAGATGGGGTGGAAATCCTTTTATTTTTAATTGCACAGGAGGTATGCAATTTTTAAATATTTATTTATTTGTGCTTACAAGAGGTGGGGTACAGGCCAGAGATGCAGGGGGTGAGAGGATTCACCAGAGACAGAGTGGGGCAGACTGACTGAAATACGCTGCCGAGGGGAGCAGCAGGCGAAAAAGGAGAGATCTGCTTTGCCATGTGGGTTGCTCTCTGGCCTCTGGCCGGCTGGGGATAGAACTCGTGCTGCAGAGGCTGCGAATTGCTTCATAGTGAGGTGCTTAACCCCTTGTGCCACCAGGGAGGCCCCAGGATGTATGCAATTGTGCACATTCACTTTTTAAGAGAAAGGGAGTCAAAACTCCTAAACTAAAGCATAGAGATAAGGGATATCTTAAGACATGTAAATGGGACCTTAAGCAGTGGGAATTTTAGTGCAAGGTGGTAGGTAATCTGTACTACCTAAGAGCAATGAAAAGAGCAAGGGTGGGTTTTGTCTATTTGACAGGCCCATCAATAATGATCATATCCATAAATATTCCAAGAGAAAGGGCTTTTTGCAGATGAGCAACTCTGCCGTGTTAAGAAGTTGCAAAGGGCCAGTGTAAAGAACAGGGGAATGGACAATTGGCGTTCTCATTATTAATTCATGAAACATGGTCTCAGGCAGTCAGCATTAACAGCAATGCAAATGAGATGAAGGATAGTGGACAAGTGAGACCATGTACAGCTGCAATTTGGTAGCTGTTTGCCCAAAAACAGCTGGACTACCCCAGGTGGGCAAAAGTGATGGGGTACCTTTATTTAAAGAGCAAGGCTGTGGCCATCGGGATTTAGCAGCACATTAACTTTCAAGCAACGTAAAAGGTACCAATTTCAAGTAAAAGACTTGGATTTTCAGTGCCCTTTAATGAGAGCAAAAGGGTTTTAGACTGGGATCTAATCCAATGGGCAGATTTGTGGACAATTAGAATTTCATGCAGAGCAGCGTTTTGGTGATCAACATAGTATGTATGCACTATAGGGGAAACTAGGGCTGTGATTACTGTGGCAATGACAAAAATGGTTTCTCCTTCCTTAAGGGTAAGGGACTGAGAATCATGGGCAGTAATGGCCTGATATGAAGCTCTTGATAAATTAACGTTTCCTAACACTAAATCAAAGGGTGCAGGTATTTGTTCTAGCTGGGCCAATGGACAAGTAGGATTGTGCACACTGATTGAAAATAATGATCCGGTAGTCAGCACTGACTATCAGCAATGAATGCTAGAGACAGATGGGGATTCCAGAGTCCAATGGATGAGCACTGAACAACTTATTTTGAGCGGTGAATCGATAAAGATTCGGGAAGAAGCAGGGCTGGGGCGTGGGATTAAAAGGGGGAATTGGGCCTGGGGCTGGGGCTGGGACTG